CACCATGTGGAAAACCCCCCCGCAAGGTGACACGCTGTCTTCTTCAGAGGAAAGGGGGGATTTGGAGCTGAGGGAAGCCGGCTTCTTGTGACCCAGCTCCTGGCTTAAATCTAAGGTGCTGCCATGTTCTACCCTGTAGGATTGTGCAGCATGACGCATCACAGTTTAAGCAGCCTGAGAAGGCCACACATGCTCCGCTGAGGGTCCTGGAGGATTTGGTCCTCCATGTTGCGATGCACGCCCAAACACCCATGGGGACCCAAGCACGGTAACGCGGAGAACGCGCAATCTTTCTTTGGAGAAGGCCAAGTACAAGTGTTTGTGTGGAGCGAATTGTAGTTCGCATTCTACGGAAATCTTCGAAAAACCTGAGTACTCCTGTTTCAGGCCGTGCCAATTTTGTTAGACTAGTTACAGGTCTGGTACTGCGAGTGACCTCGTAGGAGAACTTGTTTTTGCGGTGTGTGTGTGTGTGTGTGCGTGAGCAGGAGTGAAGGAGAGCCAGCACGGGTGCCCGTAAGACCATTCCGACAGTCTGGAATTGTCCGCTTCGCGTGTCTGGGCTATGGCATGATTTATATTGGATGCTCTCAAGCGCCCGTCTCACATGGTAATTTCCTGAATAAGGGGACTCCAGTTTAGATCTCTAAAATATTCGAATCCTTACTATAAGAATCACCAAAATGATAACCCTCAAATTTTCGGAACCCCTCCAATCTTTTCTGCTGAGATCCAATCACCTGGCTCTACACAAAAGGGGCTCTGCAACGCCACTCATTTTTTTCCTTGTGATGGGTCCTTTATGGTGCACACCGCAGAGCCAGTGCCAGGCCACAAAGAAGCATCAAGGGACTCAGCTTCCACAGAAAGCTCACGACTCTGAGGACTCAAAGATCCCATACAAACCCTGAAGAGGGGCGGCCAACTACGTCTTGAGAAGCACGCCAGGGACCCTTTTTGCCTGAGGTGCTCAACTCTTACCTTTCTGCCTCTGGGATGCCCCCGGCGCAGCGCGCCAGGGACCCTAAAGCCCTAAAACCCTAAACCCTAAACCCTTCTCCAGAACGTCATGGACTCCGAGCCTGGGGTAACACGCTCTCCGCAACGCTCTTGACCTCGCCGAGTTCCTCGCAGCGCACCATTTAAGGAAGTCCTATAGTTTTCACGAGGATTCCGGCATCTCAGGGTCTATGTTGGAGTCCCCTCGTTCAGGGAAACTACCATTTGAGGGGTTCACAAGATTAGGGGCTGGGGAGGTACCAAATGTCGTAGTCTTCCAGGTTCTGCACGCGTAGTGTTGATGGATTTTTCCCGAAAATTTTTTGTGCAAAAGACACTGGCCCCCTTAATCCACGTACCCCAGCTACAGTACTTAAAATTAAGATGGGGGACCTCCTTGGCCCCCCAAGATGGGATCTGCAATCTTTTGCAAGCCGCATAAAACAGACCAGGCTTGAAACCGCCAAGGACCTGGCCTATAAGCATCCTACGTGCTTGTGAGGGACTACACAAGCATCCCCGAAGAGGAACCTGTTATCTCTCTTCTCTCTCCCTCCCTCCATTTTCACCCCATCCCTAAAGTTCCTGGAGTACCCGTATTTCGAAGAATTCACACATACTGCAAAAGACCTGGGGAGAATCACTTTGGATCGCTTCCTGGTTCTGGGAGTTAACCTTGGCCAGGAGCGCCAAGATCTCACCTCTCAGGTGGGGACGCAACTACTTAATGGTGGGTCGTAGGAAAGGAGGAATGGGTCCCTGTAGTAATGTTAATGTAGTCCCCAATAACAATCTCCAAGTTACATGCCCGCACCCCCTTCTGAAGAAGCATCAGTAAACCAAATTCTGGAGATTGGAAATGCTCTGCCTCGGGACTATGAGGGCTGTGTTGTGTGTGATTGTCTCTATTATGGGGGACCACAACTTGGCAAATACCCACATGCAGCCCAAGTGAAGGTATCTTCAACTTGAACGCGTTGCCGTAAGAAGTCGAGCACTTCATGTGGCTATTGCACTGGGATGAATGCCAACAAACACTCTTGCAAATGTAACTTTCTGGCAGAGCGATCAGCAGCGCCCCTCGCCGCGAAGATCTCCATAAGATTATGGGCTTCACCGTAGAAGCAGCAAGGTTCGAATTGCCATCCAAGAGCTACACCGGGCTCGGAAACATGATCTGAGCACAACCTTGCGCTCATGAATTAAGTGCACGCGGCTTCAGGATTTGAACTTTGAAAACTCTACGATGCGGTTGCCTTGCGTGACCGTGGCGACCTTCACGATAGCGTCGCGATTCCATTCCTTGCCAAGCAGTCCAGTTTCAAGAGATGACAGTCTAGAGTAGACAAATTAGAGACCCAAGCGGGCTGTTGCAGAGCTAGGCAACTCTGAGTAACCCTTGCCTCAATGCAAGGACATCCCGAGGGGGCCAACAGGACAACTTCCAGAAGAAAGGACAACATTCTGATTGCTTCGCGGCGCTGTTTTTCTCGCCAGTGCCTGGCAATGCTTCAGGGTCGGCGCGATCGTCCGGCAGCCGCTTTACCCACACGGCAGACACTACAGACTCAGAAGTGACTGCAACAGAAACTGGTCTTAGTGCCAGCACAGGAACGAGTTGCTTCGGCAGCAATTTCATTGAAACTGCAACTGTCATGATAGGTCACTGCCCCGTGGGCCTGTAAATCGCTCGTCATCTGTCCATTCCTAGGAGCAAGGCGAGTCATCCTCGTTTGGGTTACCTATCAAGAAATTTGGAGTTCATTATGTGCGCGCTGTATACGCTGTGAGCGTGATTCAGGAGAGATCTCAATGGAACTGCAACGGATCATGCAACATCTCCTCAGCTAAATCCACAAAATTCACCACGGACATTTCCCCGCATCTGTTTCTGTCATTGGCTCGCTATCAACTTGCGTGCGCAGTTTGTGTTGCCTTTTCTATGCTCTACCATGTTCTACCGCTATCGCCTCAAATGAGGGCACGGTATCCAAGACCTCTGTAGTTGCTCTAGGGGGGTCCCTCCTAATAGGAAGGACTCCTCTCTTGAATGGGGAGGTGTGCAAGAAGCAATTGATTTGTAGAGGGTCATCCCTCCGGGAGATGAAAATAGGAAAGCTAGGAGTCAGGATGGCCCGGAGCTGCTGGACCTCTTCCATGAGCCGCTGATCACTGCGCAAGAGCCTCAGATGCTGGTCATACCACCATGCTAACAAGAGCTCAGGGCTAACTTTTAAGTGGCAACAATCAAATACTCATGAGTTTCGGCAAGACTGAGGGGAATGCTAACTAGGAAGATACACTAAATAAGATCGCTCAAAAAAAGTACAGCTTTCGCATGGATGGAGCTGGACGTTGCTGAATGCTGTGGGTGTCTGAGCCTGAGCACCTGCTAGGTGCAGACTACACAAACAAAAGAGGCCAACGAACCCCCTTCCAGAAGTAACACCGTTGATGGACAACAATAGTCAGACCTCAATTGCTAGCTTGGAAGCCAAAGTAACAGGGGATCCTTACAAACCTGGGGCATGGAATGGAATTTAGAACCTCTCTTCCGCTCAGGCCGAAGTACTGTAGGACACCGTGGTAGGCAGAACATGCTAAATGCCGGCCCAAACTACAAAATCCTATCGCCGCGAGAGAAAAATAGTGTAAAATGAAGGATAGCGAGGGGGGCTTGCCAAGCAGCACATCGATCTGTTGCTGAAGTGTTGGTTGGCCTGCAACTCCCGCTGCCAAGATCCTTATTTGCAGGAAGTTGCATCCACCTTGACACGCTGAGTCGCTGCATCTATCCGAGAATGCAGAACCGTAGACGTTGAGATGCGAATGGGAAGGGGTATGCAGCAGCTGTAGGACAAGACGGGAAGAGGATGACCAGAGGACATTCACGATGCAAGGTGCGTTGTTGAATGCTTTGTACGGGATCACGGCCCAATCATCTTTCTATCATCGCTGTAGACAATTTAGCTCCAATGTACTGGCACAGCATCTATGCACGCAATCATTCACTACCAAGAAAACAAACAACAGAAGCTGAGCAGTGCGCACGCAAGGATGCACACATGTATGTTCTCAAACATTTGGCCAGTCCAATTACAGACGGCTAGGTGATGTCCTTACTCAGCCTGCTGTCCAAGACCGCCTTCTACCATCAACCAGTTGTCCCTGCGCGCCGCATCCAAAGATGGACAAGCCAAGTTGCAAGACGACCTTCCACATGACGTCCAAGAAGATGCACGCAATGTCTCGCAACAGCTAGATCCTAAACCTACGCAGCCTTAGGCCTGTACAGTAGGAACATCGAGCCCCTGCTGCAACGCAAAAGACAGAACATGACTTTCAATGATTCTTTCCTGTTGACACCCTACTGGGATTGGAAGAACTTTCCACTCAGGCCAGACAACCATTGCTAGAACAATTTAATCTGCTGCTCTTGGCGGTGCACGCATGTGAGGTCATGTGAGCAAGGCCTTGCAGACTTCTATTCCAAAATGGCTGCAGCATCCCACCCATGCCATGACATGCGTTTTGTGCATGAGGCACTCTAGCAATGGAATCGCAAGCCCTTTTTACGTGGAAGCGCAAGCAAGCAGGGGCATTTCTCGGTGTCATGTTCTCCGTCCGCTACCAGGGACCGTACGGCTGAGGGCGTTGACCAACCCTCCATTCTTTTGGAACTGCAATCCATGGCCGCAATGCTACGCCCTCACCCCATTGATTAACACATGTACCACCGCGCGCTCATCTGCCCATCATCCCTGGATCGTTTGCGGAGTGCTTGGAACTACAGTGTCCTCGAAAAAGAGACTCAAACAGGCCATCGTACAAAGAGGGATCACCACTATACTACGGAACAGGCAAGGAGACCTCTGATAGTCACACTGAAATACTGCACACCTTTCACCAAAAAGGTCCCTATGACGACATGCCCGTTTGCAAAAGACCGGACCGAACCCTCCCTGGTCAACCGGGCTCCTTTCGGGCGCTGGGGCTGAGGCCGGTGATGCGGCACCCGAATCCGCCCCGGTGTGGGCTCCTCGGCCAAACATGATAAAACTATGGACAGTGACTGTGTGGTATCAGATGCGGTCCAGCAATGGATAAAGCACAACATGAGAAACACACATCCGGTGGTATCTACAAGGCTCAATGTTCGAGCGTGACTGTCTCTAGCTTGCAGACAACCATCCTGCGCCAGTATTGTGGGTACATCCCTTCACACTGGTTCTCAGCCACGTCTGGATTATTGGAAGCCAGTGTCTCCACCCTTCACAAAGACCCTCTGTCATTGCTGCATCCAAGTCTTTCAACAATCAATGCATGATTCCACTGAAGCCCATACATGATCAGTATGGTCCCCGGTGCTCATCTGAACACTGACATGCACTCCTTTATGGCCCCTGGTACCCCTCCTAAAGCTGTGTGACCTGGAGTGGTTCATGTCCGTCCTTGGCCTTCCGCTCCCTGGCAGCCGAGTCATCAACCTACCAGGGCTGTGCATCTTGGCTCAGGGGAACAAGGCCTGCAGTACTGCTGCCAATCGCCCGGCTGCAAATGAGGCGTACAATGAAGGCCTGATACATCGCCAATACACGTGTTCGCCAGCTGCTAGGTAGGTCTCATCTGCATAAGCAGTACCAGTCACTGGAGCTTCAGGTACTGCATTCAGGCAGCCAACTTTTGGTGGACCAGGGACGCTGCAGTCCTTTTGTAACTTTCCAGATAGCTTCAGCTGGTTCACATGTCTTCGATAACAATGCGGGCTAGCCAGCTTCGTTCCCAAGAGCCATGTAAACTGTTTCCGCGAAATGCGGATGTAAGCAAACAAAAAGCCACCTTGCGGCGGATTATGCTTAAGCCTACTCTTGGTTTGTCTCAGCCGCCTGCTGGCGCACACAATACGACAAGAAGCATCTAGGCCTCCAAATTGCAGCCATGATTTCCTAGCCCGAGAGTATATGATAATATATCCTCGCAAAGGTCCCATATTCCCAGGACCCCGGCAGCACCCTGAATGGCATCCCGGACCGGAACTGCGTGTTGATCCCTCTTTCCACTTCTGTATATGAGCTATATGGTACGTTCCCAAATGGGGGAACACCAATGTAATCCCAGAAAACTATAATCCTTAATATCGGGACCCCCCAAAAGTACCCCCATATAAGCTGTCATTCATACTCAGCTCGGGTGAGGTCATGGTCAGTTCTTGGCTCCAAAAAACTCACTCCCAGGCGCACCTCGTCTTCCTTGGTCCCATCATGTCCCAACCGTGAGAGGAACAGTAGGCTGAGATTGCTTAGTCTAATGCAGTATATTATCGTATATCATGTAGATTATAGTTGTAGTATATTACACAATATGATGGTATTTTGCAGTATATTAGTAATCCGTTCCCCATATTAATAAAACCCACCCTAATAACAAATAATAAATCCGGACCCTAAAAATTGCTCATGAG